CTTCCTTTGCGGGTAACCCTCCGTGTCAACACGTTCACCTTGTGGAGCTTTTGCTACCTATCCTGTGCTTCTATAAATGCAAAATTGTGTTGCTATGCAAATGTGCTTCTGTGTTACAGGTGCAGACAATATCAGGAGCACTCAAACATTTTTGTTAGCTTATACACGTGCTAGAAAGCAGGATTTGCATCTCCGGAAGTCACTGAGAGAAGTGGGCTTTGCAGGCACTGGACTGTTCTTTGGTTGTTTTTCGTTTCACCCTAGACGTGGAGACAGATGTGAATGCTACTCAGCAGCCTATGTGTGTATTGAAATTGTGACTGGATACATCTGAATCGCAGAAAAAACTGTCTTAGCAGGATGCTACCCCATATAGTGTTAGAGCCTTATAGTCTCAAAAATCTTTCACAGTGCATGAATTCACATATATTAAGTAATCATAAATAACTCTAAATGACATATGCCCAGAATAGTGAGCAAAAAGCCTGTCTCTGGATTTAGTTATTACTTTTTTTTCTATTAACTTTCCACTAAAGTCCCAATTTGGCAGCTAGTCTGTGCTGGTCAGGGACCCATCTGCTGCCAAAAGCCACTGGTGGTTTCTAAGAGCACAGGAGCTGTCGCACACCCGTCTGCTATACAGCTAACGGATGTGTAGCAAGTGTCTGCTAGCAAAGGTGCTGTGGTGTATTGCACAAGGAAATTTAGGAGCAGCTCAATACTAGAAGAGCATAGTCCAACTTTTATTGCTGCAACACTTGTGAAAGTTCTCTTTTGCTTCCAATAAATGTTTTTAATGGATCGATAATGTTATATTGTTAGCAGAAATTACCTTTTGGAAGAAGTCTGAAAAGGAAAAAGGCAAATAATTCACAAATTTATAGCTTGGATTTAGTCTTCTTGTTGGCTGTGTTACTGCAAACATAAAACACTTGCTGCACACTTTTATCGGGTCATTCTTGCACAGCCCATATCAATTTATCTCGTTTTATTTTCCTTCTTTTCCACTAAGGTGCAAGTTCTGCCTTTACCACTTCCTCTTCCTCCCTTCAGTGCCCTAGGAGAGAAAGCTCTGGCTTTGGCAGTGGTGGGGACTGGTAACCAGCCCTGGCTGGGGGTGCACGTTGCTTCCCTCGTGGGCTCTCCCCTCTATTTTTGTAAGGAGCTGGGTTTGAATGCACTGCCAGTTTTCCCCAACAAACAGTAGGTTACACTTTCAAAGCGACTCGTGTTTTTTACTTCCCATCCTCTTTGCCATCTGTCTGTAGATCTTAGTATGCAGTCTGTTAAGATTTGCCGATAAAGCTTTTATTAAGATTTATTTAATGGGATTTTCAATCTTCCACTCTTTAATCATGTTGGAAAAAAATATTAAATAGTCACAATCCATAGCTGCCTTGTGACTAAATCACATTCACTTAACCCAGGAAAGAATGATTTCTAAAGAACTTCTTTCTGTCTCACAGGAGCTTAATAGTTGTCTTGTTTATTATCTTGCTGTGGTTAAAATTGCCACAGTAGGGGGGGAAAAGAAAAGAAAAATTGTTAATGCAGTTGTTTGTGTGGCTTGCCCTAGATATTATCGTTATCATTTTTTAATCATTTTTTTTCTTCTAATGAGCAGAAGCAACTGTGAAAGGAGAAAATGCTGAAAACAAACAGTACAACTATAAATAAAATGAATTCTTTTCATGTGATGCAAGTCAAGGGAAAAAAACTAGCTTAATATGCTCTGGCTTCTTGACACTCAAGGTGTGATCAGAGATTACTTATCATCCACAGGAGAGTGGGAAGCAAGTTAATTAAAATTTTCCACCCTTTCACTGAATGAAATGTCTCCCAGTTTGAGACGCATTATTTGAACACTTCTTTTTCAGAAGAGCTCTGGCATGTACTTTCTACTTCTGCTGGTGTTCAAATCCAATATTTGCTATCTAGAAAGAGCATTGCAATTTCATCTTACGTATGTTTGAAATTTCATTTCCATTGTCTCAAATAATAGTAGATAAAATAATGTTAATTATTGTATTAAATATAAAAAGAATACAAGATGACTCTTTTCCTCTGCACCCGTCCCCCAGTGTATTCTTTGTTTAGAAGCATTTTTGCTTTGGAAAGCATTTAATATGACACCAATTAAAGGCCTGTATAACTATGACTCCTGCTGGCACACAAATTTCCAGTCGTGGGATAGGATTACGACTGATGATTCAGGAGGGGAAGGGAGAAGTAATTTCTTGTGGTCTTAAAGAAAGCTTCAATTATCTGTATTTGCAAGTAAGGAGGTTGAAGCCCATATGAATTACACCTGTTTATTCAGGAGTGACTCCTTTCTCTTGTCTATCATCTTCAAATGCAGCCAATTATTAGTAGTAGTTTATTCCCCCAGGGACCTGGGGAAGAGGTGCGGTGTCTGACTCCAGCAAGGCATCCTGCAGAGTTGGAGAGAGCTTCTTAAAGAGCATGTGGAGCTCAGAGGAGGTGTGCACCTCTGTATAATGTATATGCTTCCTTCCTCCAAACAGCCTAACATGCAGATTGTCGTGTCACGTACCAGCACATAGGAAAAATAAGAGGTTACCTTTTTGTAACATTGTACAGCATTCTTTCAACAGAGTTTTTTACATTTCCAGATTAAAAAAAAAAAAATTATTTAAGCCAAACTGACTTTAATTTAATCTTAAATTTATTTTCTGGTAACTTTACACTTTTACATGTGCTTACCTGCTCTTTTCCTTTCTGCACTATTGGTATTGTGAAATACAACATCATCTGCTGCAGATGATGCTTAATCCTGACAAGTCAGACAGGTCCAAAGCTGGCCTTGTTTTGCCACTCAGAACCTGCAGGGACAGTGGGCTGTGGCAGGAGTGACGGCGCGTCCCTGAAGCAATTTGGCTTCTGCAGCAGCCAAATGAGCTCTGTGTGGTATTGATGTCCTTCCTCATTGCCATAATCTCCCTCTGATTTTTGACGATTGCTGCACATTCTGATGCAAGGAGAAGGTTCTCCTTGCTAATCGCCAACCTTAGGCAATGAATTCAAAATAGAAATCCTCTTTGCAACATAAGATGTTGCTTGGGGCACAAACAAGGTCTGCTGTGCCAGTCTTTCCTGACCTGCTAGTCTTCCACCCTCTAAATGAGTGAGCTCCTTCTGTTTTTTCTTCTACAAATGCTGTTTGATGGAGGGAATGTTTTGTTCATCCTTTTATGTGTTCTTCCAGGCACCTCATTGCAGGCTTGCCATGGTGGATGCTCTGACCTTATTCTTAATGCTTATGTTGCATATTTTCGTCTTTAGTTTTGGAAGGCATTGTTGACCAATCTCATAAATCTCAACGTGTTATTAATGTGTTTTCTTGAGACATTAGCTCTTAAAGGCATCTAGATACCTCATAATTTTTGCATTACCTTTGATTTTAAAACCTGGAAAGAGGGTGGAAATACCCATCTTACAGAGGGAAATGGGAGTCTGAGGAGACTCTGAATCTACCACGATCACAGATGTAGGATAAGTCCTGATCCCTTCAGAGGACATGAGTCAAAGGCCATGTGGTATTGCTTCCCTCTTGCAGGACAACTCATTCCTCTCCTGGAGTTAGCAATTCTGGTCTGTACATGGTGATGTTGTAAAGTAGCAGTATCTCTGTAAGTGCCTGAAAGCCTCTGTACAGAAATCAGAAGTAACATTAGTAGAGTGTTCTCTTGCATGCACTTTCTGGAGTAGAGTTTTTAAACGTTCTCCTTTTGAAGCATGAGTGATACAGCTTCTTCAGCTATTTGCATTTGTGGTCATGATCAGGTTTTTAATAGGTATAGTCAGGCAGTCATTGAGTTATGAAGATATCAAGTGACCTAAATTACATTCTTTAGAAGAAAGGAATAGCTGAGATTGGAATTCACTAAAATACCTTGAAATAACTACAGTAGGATTTGGATTAGTTCTGATCAAATGACTATTTTATTACGGCGGAATAAATGGATTTTTTTGAGCTGCAAAACTATTGTGCCTTACCCAGTGTTGAGAATTGGCAGTTACAACTCCTTGCATGCACATGAAACTAGTGTAAGTGCCTGAGCTTTTTGGCAAATTTAATTGTTATTCCAATTGAATGTAGTTATATTTTTAGAGACTAGTAGTTACCATTTGCCTGCTTTGTGTTTATTAAAATTAAAAACTAGTAAATAAGCTTTAGCATCTATTTGTTAAATTACTGGAAGTCTTGGCAATTAGACACCTCACTGGAGCAATCTTTGTTGAAATCACCAGTGGTTCTTTCTGTGTGAATTACAGGGTCTACCATTTGGTAGAAAGAGAATTAGCAAGGCTCTGCTGGGTAGATCTGCAGCTGGAGCCAGACTTCTGCACTGAAAGGCAATGCTTTTGGTCTCGCCCACAGATCTCCTGATTCAAAATAAGAAGGAAGCAATGCGTATTTGGGGGTGATAAAAGGAATAGATCTGTACTTATATTCTATTTATGTTGTTGTTGGCTATATTGCTCTTGATCCATCATGGCAGGGTAACCTGACTGATTTCAGTACAAATCTTCAGGATTTACTCAAGCCTAGACAAGTGCAGAATCCAGACAAAGCAATGTTGTCATTTTTCAACTACTTGAATATATCTTTTTGCTTGGGAGGAGATAATTGGTAAAATACAATTAATTTGTCCTGTTCAGATCTGGAATCATCTAAAGCTAGATGGATGACTCAGGCAGTGTAAAAACAAGATCACATACGTCTACCATTTTAAACACTCATTTAACAGTTTGTGATGTACAGGCGATTGATAGGTCCTGTGTCTCATATTTTTGAACATTTTCCTTCCTGCCTAGCTGAACATACAAAATGACCCACTTTTTAGTACAAAAACGCATTCTCCCTCCCAGAGTACCCACACATGTATTTTTTCTTGGGTTTTTTTTGTTGTTTTTTTTTGTCAGACTGAATGTCATACCCTAGTTGATAATGCTAACTGTTGATTGTTCTTTCCTAGGGAGTTGAAGTGCAGACGGATTACGTTCCGCTGCTGAATTCCCTTGCCGTGTATGGCTGGCAGCTGACATGCGTGCTTCCTACTCCAATTGTGAAGACAAACAGGTAGGTAGGAGGTGGGTGCTGCCTTTTGGCCAGGGAAGTTGCTGTACGAGCACCGCAGTCCATACAAGCAATTCTCCTTGCAGTTAGTGTGGTTTTCCTTGCATGCGCGCAGTAGCTGCCCTTGCAAGCCCTGCTGCAGCTGTTCTCTGGGTTTTCTGAGCATCACAAGCCACATGGGGCAGGAAGCATGTGTCTGGTGGGCAAAATACTGCAAGGCGGCAGTGCGGTTTCTGCATGAATTTTCTGGGTGTTGTCTCTGCCTGTCTGTAAACTCCTTGACTGTAAAAGTCCCACTCTGGATTTCCTAGTAGCAACTCTTAGAGCAGAGACAAAACCTGTGATAACGTTTGGAGTGACATGTTGCCTGCCTGAAGAAAAGTAATTTTATTCTTAATCGATGTCTGTCTAATGCTGCTGATACACACAGTCTAGCTGAGAAGAACCATGTGAGATTGTGGTGTATCATTACTCTAGTAGCCTTGTTTGCATGTACAATCATTCTGCGGTCTACTATTATTAATAGTCTGAGTTTTTAACTATAAATGCAAGTCACTTAAAAATACTCTTCATAACTGTGGTGAAAAACAATCATCCCACTTGTTAATCATGAAGATAGCACTTTCTGAATTTTCACTGGTGAGGAATATATTTTTATATATATATACACTAATATAATCAGTCATGATTTTTTATCTTAAAAGAGTGAAAATACACCCAGTTCTTTATGAGATCTAGATGAAGACTACTCCTACACATAAACACCTAAAAAGTAAAGGCCATCTGTGCTGGGAGAAAACCGATATTTAAGTTTTTCATATATGTTTAAATATAGGAATGAATAGAAAATCACAATTATGATTTGTAAGCCCTGTCTCTTAAAGGTATACATGATTTTCTATCTCTTCTAGCTTTCTGTATCCCATTTATAACTTAGTAACACCAGTCAGGTTGACAGTGCAGGAGGGCACCCACCCCATCTAACCACTGGTGGCATTTGCTTGTGCCTCCTACTGTGGTACAGACCCGTGCGGAGCACCCAGCCCCGTTCAGATGGGTGCCTCGGAGGGAGGGAGCACTCCGGTGTTGCTGAGATGCTGCTACACACAGGCATCATGGGGCTTGGGTTTCTTGCTTTTTGCTCCAAACAATTTATTCTGTGTTTACACACTAATGCTAAAACATTCAGCAGAAGTATGTCACAGGCTGACAGGCTCTATCAGGCTGAACAGTTGCGCTTTTTTCCCCCCAAATACCAAGCTGCTCAAAGACACAGGGGACAGGCAATGTTTAGGTCATTCTTCAGTTTGTTGTTTTGACCTGCAGAAGTAAGTGACTGAGATGGAGTTTCACTTTGAATGATGCTGGATGTGAATTTAATTCATTCTCAGGAGTGTGCATTTGTTTCTTTTCAGGGAGGGGAATTTATCTACAAAGCAAATTGTATTTCTTCAGAGACCTTCTTTGCCCCAGAAAGCAAAGAAGAAAGAATCTAAGGTAAATAACCTTGAGTTCCTGGGGTTTTTTGGTTTTTGTTGGAGGTATTTTAATATTGTAATTGATTTCCCAAAGAAGTAAAAATGGCCTGTTCAGTGTTTCTGCGCTACTGTAGCAAGATAGACGGAACTGAACTATTCAAATGAGAGAAACAAAAAATGCTTAAATTATGTGAAAGCTCTTATATTTCATTCTCTGTTGAACTCAGGGCAGCAGAAGAGATACAGATTTCTCTTTACAGCTGGGCCATAAACCTCCATACATGACCTAGAATTCTCTGCTCACGTTCACTGCCTGCAAGGTGGAACCAGTACAATTTTCTCTCACCTACTGCATGTCTTTTCTATTTAAATTGGTCTCTTTCTTGCTATGTGTATTGATGGAGCCTAGCACGGCACAGGCTTGATCTTGGCTAGTGTTTCTATTGTGTGACTGTTAATGAATTCTGCTAGAATTTAACAAAAAAAGTCCCCCAAATCCAGCTAAATTGTCCAAGAATGTAGCTGACAGCTAATGATGCATGTATGTGGATACATGTATGTATTGCCATTTCCATTTTTAAACGTGTAGCTGTGGGAACCCCTGCCCAAACCTGTCACGCCATACAGCTGAGAGGGAAATAAAAGGACTGGTTTAAACTGGAAACTGGGGAAGTGCTGACCTTCCTATAGTACTTGAATTTGCCTTGCCCTTGCAGTATGCAGAGGGATCAAAAAAGCCAGGTGAAGTAGGGAAAGGATCTCTGAAACCACATGATGAGAAGGCTGCTAATTAATACAGGCTTGTTTTTATTCTAACTCTGTGCACTTACGTGAGTGCTGGCTAGCCAAATGTCACCTGAAGGAGTGGTGCGCTCGAGGCCCTGCAGAAACTGAGCTGGAGTAGGAGATTGGAAACGCTAAGCACAGCTGAGCACTAGGAGCATTTTACCCAACATTTTGGGTAACTACAGATAGTTTTCATCTATAAAGCCCTCACTGGTTTGGAGCCAGGTTCTGTGAAAGTCATCTTTTAGATACGGTGGAGACCAGGAGAGCGTTTGAACTGACTGAAGTTAGGAAAGAACCGCTGGGAGCATAATTTAGGATTTACCCTCTCTCATTAGTGAAGCTGGAGCCCAGAGTGTTCTGTGAATGTGTTACAAAGCCCATCTTTCTTGTTTTTTCTCTTTGTTTTCAGGTGATTAAAGGGATCTTGAGATGAGGGTTGGAGTGCCTGTATTTGGTCATTTTTTTCCTACCGCTTTGTGTGGTTTTAATGGAAAGGGTGGGAACATAGAAGCAATTGTGTGTCTTCAAATAGAGAAATTAGTATGATACTGATTTCTTCTATTATAATAACAAATGCATACCATCCAGATGACTCAAAACTTTGTTTAAATTTTTTCATTTGGGAATATAAAAACTTATTTAACAATGTCTGGTTGACAAAACAAAGGATTTACTCGTTGGCAGCATTAAATATACAGACATATTTGAGGGCAAATATCACTGCAGCACATTTTCATACCAAAGGTCAAGGAAAAATGGGGTACATTGATTATAGTTATATAAAGAAATGTAAGACTGGTTCAACGTCTGTAAGTGATTGTTGTGAGTCACATCAAAGATGCCAAACCTAGCATTTGATTGAGTTGCTGAATATTCTGCACATACAATGTCACAGGCTCTCAGCATTTTGCTAACTTGTGATACGGCATGTCTAAAATATTTATAAATAAACTCTTGGAGGAGGGAAATAGGCTGATAAGATGAAAAAAGGACATTGCAGTGTTGGAAACTGATCTATCCTACCTAGGCACAGCAACCAATGGCTGTTCAGTTTAGCCAGAGGAACAGAAAAGGAAACATGCAAGGAGGGGTACAACTTATTTTTCTCTTTAGTAAGACAGAAGTACTTTTATTAGTGCAATATTCAGTCAGCAATGAGGTAATGGTGTTCATTCACTTTATACAAAAGTGCTGTATGCATTTTTGTGAAATACAATATAAATACCTGACTAAGTATACATACATTTGCACATACACACAGAGCCTGCTACGGTTTGATCTTTATCACATTTAGGGCCCTGATCTTACCTTCTGTCAAAGAGAGCTGTGAGTTAAAGGGGAGCTGTGGGTGTCCAGCACTTCGGCAAATCAAAAAAAATATTCAGGTGTCTCTGAATTTTAAACAGTTGAGCTCTAGAACTGAGATATTATCTTTCCTCTTTCTCTAAACTGTAATGATGTTTAAGTGAAAGATAGCTTTCTCTAAGTAAAACCAAGAAGAATCTTGTGAAAGCCAGTTTCTTTTTTTTGTTTTCCTTTTCTTTTTACATTAAGTTCTGGCTAGCAGAAGGAAAGAGCATTGCTCCATCTTTGTAATCTAATAAACTTAATAGGTTTTGAATGGCTTTTTGATTAAGGAATAAATAGCTAGATCAAAAATTTATGAGTATGAGTCCTTCTTTTGACCAACCTCAGCACAGGCCTGGTTGCACTGGAGAAAATGGCTTTTGGACCACAGCTGAATCTGCTGAATGTCCCAATGAGATTATTTGTGCCATCAAGCACTGCCTCCTAACCCATCCCTGAGTTTCTATCAGCATGGGCACTGCTGACAAAATGGTTGTGTACATTTACATGTATTTAGCAAATGTGTAGGATGGCTCAGCAGTGCCATGGAACATGGTCTGCCTTTCCTTGGGAAGGTCTATTTATTTTTTGACAAATGAAGCAGATACATTAGTGGCATATTTGTCAGCCTTTATATATGTTATACCTGTCGAGTCAGTATTTCAGGGTACTGCTAGTTCCTTTTTTTTGTTTGTTTTTAATAATAGTAGTTAAAACAGTTCTTCTGAAATGGTGGCTGTGGTAAGTCTTTTGGTGAGTGCTGCAAGAGGCAGCCTCATGCTTTCTCATCAAAAAACATTCATACAAATGGTTCAGACTATTTTACTGTTTGGGTATAGTCTTGGGTATAGTGTTAGTTCTGCTGCTAACCTGGTGAAAAACACTGGAATAATGCCATAGGATTGCTTCCTCTGTCTGCACTTGTGCAGCTTTGCATATTCTTGCTTCGCACACAGTGCAGGTTGTCTGCCAGGTTGCTATAGGCCTCAACAGTGACACAGCATGCGGAGAGGAACCCACTAGACATGTGAAACAGCAGAAGTAGAATGCACCACAGTCTCCACTCTAACAGATACATACATGTAGGCTCAAATGATCTTAAGTCGTCTGATTTAGTTATGCCATTTTTTTAATCTTAGGTCTTTTTGTTCAAACTAGTCTTTGAATTAAAACTAAATAATAAAAACATTTCTACTCAGGAAAGCAACTGTCCATGTGAGATTGTCTCTAATGGTCTTTAACATTTGGATCTCTTACTTGTAGTTTCACTGGAGGTTCTCCAAAGAAGACGTGCACAACAAACATATGAAGAAATCCATGAAGACTAAATTAAGTACTAGGGAGAAGCAAATGGCAGAGGAGAAGCAGGAATTCGAAGTCACAGAGAACACAAGAAACTTAGAAGCACAGATCTCAACGGTAGCCAAGCCTGATCCAGAAGAGCAGCTGGACGATGTCATAGACTTGGGAGATGAGGTAGCAGGGACCAACGACAGAGGTACCCATCACGACGGGGCGTCAGAAGAAACATGTCCTGCCAGTTACGATACTGATGACAATGACGTGCAGGTCTGCCTCAGCCAGAGTATGTCTGGCTGCTGTGTGGATCAGGTAACAGAGGGGGGAGACTGTGCTCCCGTATCGGACGGCTGCAATGGCAGCAATGGGGCAGGGCTGGACATGGACTGCTCCTGTGAATAACACCTACATTTCAAGAATCCTGTGAGTTGCTGATACTTTGCCAAGACAAAAGAACAGATTTTGCTAATCATCATCACTAACTCCATTGCTCAATTCCGCATTTCTTTGGCATTGTACTTACTTTGCTTCTTAGCACACTGGTATCTTGATATTCTAAGTAACTACAGGGCCCGGGCTTCTTAACCCACAAAAATTAATCGCAGAATTCTGTCCACTTTACAGAGTGGGACATGCCCTATGCTATCTCCTGGAGCTACACTTTAAAATTAAAAGTAGGGACAGAAAACATACTTGGGTTTTTCTGTGACCGACCTTAGCAAGCTAGGTTTATATCTAGGTCACGGCAAACATTCCATGTGGTCAGATTTTACTCTATAATACTTTCTTGTCCACCTAACTTTGCTGGAGAAGTTATTGTGCCGTATGTTATTTTGTCATTAAGCTTTAGTGTCATGAAAATGGTATTTGGGCTTAAACAGGCTGAAATTGGAAAGCTTAGGTAAGATGGCTGTTACCTGTATTTATCTCAAATTGCATACTTACTGATGATACTGTCTTCTGAATTTTATTAACTCTTGCAGATCTTTAAGCAATAAGCAAATTGTTTGCCTACTTTAGGCGCACTGGGTAAACAAACCCCATGGTAAATTTCTGTTGAGGCAGATGATTCCAATATAAAATGCAATTTCCTATTCACTTGTGTTTACGTTCTCTTTGCCAACAACAGTTTCTCAGTAGTTATGGGGGGTTCAGAAGATAGAAAAAGAGGGGGGAAAAAAGCAGGTAAAATGTACGTCTTTCAGTGGCTATCTTCACTAAAATTGGAATTAGATGTTAACTCCTGACCCTTGCAGGTGATTTTGCACCACTTCATCACTTTTACAAAATATATTGTGGGGAGGAAGTGAAATTGTACACAAATAGCAGGGGTCAGTGGCCAACAAATGTCACTAAATGACCTTACAAAATGCAAATACCTTAACAGAGGGGGTTTTTTTATACAAGTAACCATATTTTGGGACTGATACCTAATGGAATTCTATAAAATTACCAACATTTTTATGTTTGGAGCTACATTAAAATATTCACAAGTGAATGTACATGTGTAATATAGTTTCTGTGCCAATGTTCTCCAAGTACTTCAGTGTTCTTAAAAATGTAGGAAGTAGTTGTTTCTCTCTTAACCACCTTCATCCCTATTTAGAAGTGGTCAGGTAATGTGGGAACAAGATGAGAAATACATTCTAAATTCCCCTGCTTTTTTTTTTTTCTAAAGCAAGAGCTCTGTAAGTGATTTACTGGTTTTTCCCTTGACTGATTTGTGCCTGATAATTTTCCTTAGTCTTTAAATCAAAATGCTGTACAAAGAACTATGGTCTGTATCGAATGTGCACCTAGAGTGGTTCAAAAGCATCTTCCATGCCTAAAAATTACACAGTTGGCAGAACATTGCAGAGAAGGGAAAAATCATACCACTTTGAATATTCATCTAATTGGGACAACGGCACTCAAGTTTAAACCATTCAATTTCACACATACAAACCACGGTGGTATTTTTTTCATTGATTAAAGAGTTTTTTATTTTTAATTCAGTGGTTTAACCACAGGCATATAAGTAACTTCAGTTTCTGGTGGTATTTTTCAATTATTTCATTCTGTTTCTTGAAATTAGACTGAAGTTCCAATAGCCTCAAAATTAGGTTGTTTCAGTTGTTCTACTTAACTACAAGGTCTCTGCTCTGTACAGTTTTAAGTACCTGTTTGCAGATTTTATTAGCATAAGATCCTTCTCACGGTTTCTATTTCAAGGACTAGCTTTGTATTAATCTTGTTTAAAAATATACTGTATTTAATGAACATTTTACTAGTAGAAAGTGTTGCAGTAGAAAGAACTGTCCGGATACTTTGGAATAGAAAGTGTTTATTGGATTGCAATTTGACCTTGTTTTACTGGATCCCAACTGCTTAGAAAACTAAAGAAAAATAAAGGTCATGAGGAGATTTCTTATTTGTGGTACTTGCACAACTGCCAATAATTTGTCCCCAAAAGGAGGAACTCGGGGTCTCTTAAGTGGTGATGAAGGGAAGCTCCTTACTACTGAATTAGCAGTAGTTACTAGTGCTAGAGAACTGGCTACTTGGTTTTACGTCACCAGTCTGACAGAGCATGTAGGGGTCTATGAGGAAGTTGCACGTGTTTATGTGAAAGCTCGATTTAAAACTTTGTTCCTCTAAGTGCTGGAGTGGCTTAGGGTTGGGAAGTTTTGAAGAGAACTTTCATGGGTTTTCAGTTTAAAAGGGACAAACGGTTTTGGGTTTGTAGTCACATAATCAGTTCCAACTTGTGACTTTGAATTGAGTTAGTTCAGCTGTCTGGAGTCGTGCACGTGTTTTCACCGTGTCCCTGTCTCACGTAAACCGAGAGAGCTTACATCACCTCGTAGGTGGATGTTACAGATGGGATGAGGGCTGGGGAAGGCAGGCTTGGGGCACAGCAGCAAGGCTCCGCAGCTGTTAACGTGTGTTTTCTCTCAGCTGCCTTTTTGCCATTTGGGGCTTGAAAAAGCAAGACCACCAGAGAGGCCAAGGAAGTGAAAGCAAGCAGTCATCACCTTATTTGAAGCCTGAATGGAGAAGAGAAAGGGCTAGGCCAGAGCTTAACTCCTGCATCTGTAAACCTGACCAAAAAAATGCAGGGAAATATGCCAACAGTGGAGAGACCGTATGTGGGAGAAGCTGAAAGGGGAGGTTGGCTGCAGAGCTACAGCCTCCATCTTCAGCAGGGCAGGGAGGGGCAGGACTCCATACTGACTTCTCACCCAAAGAAGCCCCAGCTCCATAGCAGGGTTTGTCACCCCCAGCAGAAGGCGGAGAGAGAAGCCAGGCCCTTTCGTTTCCCCCAGAGAGCCACCATCTTAAGCCCAACCTATTTTTTTCCCCCCAAACTAGGCACACTCTCCCAGTAAGGATGCAAACTGATCTTACCATGCCTCTCTCGTAAGGGAAGGAGACACCAGTGAGTATTGCCGGCATGCCTAGGGAAGGAGCTGATGGGTTGCGCTGCCATGTGTTACCAATGCTGGCTGGGCACAGCAAAGCACGACAGCACACACAAGTGGCACTTTGGTGTATTTTAACGTGAACACCTCCTTGATAGACCAACAAAACTCACGTGTGTGGACCAGCCCTGAGAGCTGCCTGCCTTTGAGGGAGGAAGATGTGAGCTACTCTGTCGGGAGAAGGAGTTACACATGCTGGTGTTTAGAGGAAGTGGTCACTTGAACAAGGTGACAGTTGTTAAATGGAATGAGTTCAAAGGAGAAAATCCAGCTCAGACAAATGAAGAAATGTCAAAGGCTGAATGAAGATAGCAAAGAGGAGTAGCTGAATTAAATGAAGGATCGAAAAGGGGTTTTATATTGAAACGAACAGTGGGGGGCAGGGGCAGAAGGGTAGAACTAAGATGGGTGGGAAGTCCAAAATGTTGAAGCATCATCAAAATAAGTTTATGCAGAGTTTAGGAGGGGTTAAATGCACAAACGATTTGACTGGCACTTCATCTTGCATAATTTCTTTGATTATTGGATCTGTGCACTTGAAAATGGTGTAACTGAAATAGCTCAAAGTAGCTTTAACGTATGCATGGAAATGAAGCTAAGAACAAAACAATACACTTTTTTTTTTTTTGTCCTAATTTGGCTTCTCTATCAATCAGCCTCAGTTTCCGAGGTGAGCAGGGGAAGGGCTTTGCATTGGGATACCCTGCTTTTTCTTTGTAGTTGCTGTGACTCTGTACATTTGCCTCCGGGAGCCAATTACAGGGCAGAAATAAAGCAGCTTTTCATGCAGGAATTTCATCCTCCCAGAACTGAAGCGTATAAGAACAGCAGACACTAATTTCTTGCTGATAAATACTTCTCAAAAGTATGAGGAATGCTGGCTAACAATACCAACGCACCTATGAATTCAGAGTTGTAGATGCAATTCATATGTCTCCAAGGCTGTTGGTGGAGATGCGCTTCTGGCTTTAAAAGGCGATCCTTGCCAAAGCCTCCATCAGCAGAAGGGTGCCTGTGGTGCTGAATGTGGCAGTCGACTCTAATCAGTACCTTACCTATACGCTGAAGGGTGGGGGGAAAGGCTTGTCAATTTAAGAAGTGCCTTCTGTTATTCACTCTAAAAGCACCCTACTAACTAAAATGATGTAATAACTGAATAGCCACTCTTTTTTTTTTTTCAGTTAATTAATGCAAAGCCTATAGGAATCCTTCATATTCATTGTACCAGATGAGTACATGGCAAACTGGTAAAATAAAAGTCACAGGAAGAAGACGACTCAGTCCAATAAGGCCGTAACACCAGGTAACTCAAAAAAACCATCTCAGTTTAAATATAAATGTATAGATGGACTTGTACCTCACTCCTCATATTCTGTTGTACAAAAAAAAAATAACAGTCTACTTTTTCTCCTTAAGCTGCTCCTTAGCTGATGACACAAGTCTTAAGACGAGTAAACATTTTCTAAGATTACATGTTATGATTTGACAATATGATGAGAATATTTCTCCAACGCTGTAGCTGCTGAACAGCAGGAGTTGCTCTCTGTTCCCACCAGTGTAGGCTAATAGCACATTTATTTATTTGTAGAGCATGTTTATATAGGTTAATTTTCCTGGGATTTTTTTTCTCTTCATGTATGGTGGAATCAGATTCAATAATAGACTTTAAGGTGAAACTGATGTTTCACAACAAGACCGCTAAACTCTAGAAAGAAGAGACCTCCAAAAGATTCTTAAGTGTCAACAGGAAAAGGCTATGGAGGAAGGGGATGCTAGCAACTTCCCTGGCTTCTTGGCTCAGAAATGGCATTTATGACCATTACCTGCATTATGGAATGAAGGTGTTCTCTGCCCTTTGGCAGGATAACAGCTCAAGGTAAGAAAGAACTTCTTGTTAACAGTAACTGAGGCTACTGGTATTTGGGTGTGGGGAGGTATGAA